TTGCATCTAGATGGCAGCTTGCTAGCTTTTAAGATCCCAGTCGCTAAGAAGTGGGTTCTTCAAGTTCATAAAGCGTAGCCAAAGAAGGTCAGACTGTCTGGATCCAAATCCTGCATCTGCCTCTTTCTAGCAGTATAATCATTAGCCTCAGTTTCGTCATCTGTAAAATAGAGATGATAATAGTACCTGTTCAGGGCGATTGCAGTGAGGACTAAACGAGTTACTAGTGCAAAGCACTTAAAACATTACATGGCACTAAAGGAGGTTAGGGTGGTGGTGCTTGAGTCTGCTATAACATTACTAGATTTGCAACCTTTACTCTCAGGAGGGAGGAAGCTGCCGCAGAAATGACAGGTTCAAAATCACTGGATATGGGCTCAGAACCCTCGCTTCTGGGCCGCTGGTTCTCTCCTCGCCCCTCCCTCCTTGCCACCTCCCTTTGCTGCTCTCAGGCCAGGGACCTGATTTCCCACTCCCCGGGGAAGGAAAGGGAAAGCAAAACTAAAGGAGGGGCTCCTAAAGCCTAGGGTTCCCATGCCAAGGGTTCCCAGGGCTACTCGGAAACCAGGCATAGTTTTATGTTTGTGTGTTTAAGTCAACAACTGAAGAAAGCTTCCGTTTGGGTAGAGGAAAGGGGCAGGGAGGAAACACTGAGCTGCCCTGGTGATGCTACCAGGGTTAGGCCGGGTATCAGCGGCGCGGGCGGGGTCTCGTTGCCCTCTCCCGTCCTATCTGCCTTCTTCAGGCAGAAGCCCCTGGGGTGCATATCAAGTCCCAATGGGAGGATTAGGGGTGGGAGGGAGGACGGTGTCATTGAGATTTCACCAGGCTCCCTAGAAGCTGGGCAGTCCTGCTAGAGTTCCAGCTTAGTTCTTCTCCACTACGTAAGCGTCCTCAGGCAAGTCATGTGTCATCTAGGAGCCTCAGTTTCCCCACCTGTAAAATGGAAATGACATTCTGTCTTCCCGGGTGATGGGTGCAAGAGCGTTAATGCGGGCAGCGCGCGGGGTGCTGTGCCTGGGCGCGCGCAGCGGGTACCAGGGGTAGAGGGTGCGGATGCGGAGGGGGTACGGGTGCAGCAGGCGAGGCCGAGGGTGGGGTGCGCGGGAACAGCTCTGCAGCCCGGCTCGCAGTGCTCGCGTCATCGCCGCGAGGGCGGGGCCGCGGGGCCGCGGGGCCGCGGGGCCGCGCTCTGGGGAGACCTCCGCTGGAGCTGCGCCCGCGGCCGCTCGCCGCTCGCCCGCTGCCCGGGCCTCTGCTCCGCCTGCTCACCGCATCTCCGCTCTCCGCTGTCCTCCCTTCCGCGTCCCTGCGCGAAGATGGCAACCGACGGGCTGCGCGAGAACGAGACGCTGGCATCGCTGAAGATCGAGGCCGAGAGCCTCAAGGGCAAATTGGAAGAGGAGCGGGCGAAGCTGCACGATGTGGAGCGTGAGTGCGGGCCGGGGCGGGAGGCGCGGGGCGTGAGAAGGGGACGCAGCCGCCAGGCCTAGTAAACAAGACAGGCCTCTGGGGTGGGGGCGACCTGGGCCCGGGCCGGGAGCTTGGTCCGCGCCACTGCGGGGCGGACAGGGCCGCAAGTGCCGCGCGCAGGTGAAGCGCGGATAGTGGCCGCGAGAGACTGAGGTGCGCGGATCTGGACTCGAGCCTGGCCCGCTCTCGAAGGGCACCTAGCCGGGCCCCAACACGCCCGCTCCGGAGGCCGGCCCGCCTCTGGGCGGGGCGCCTGGTTGCAGAAGCTCGGGGCGCTGTCTTCCCGAACACCGAGGGCCGTGGGACCAGTTACAGCCATCACCAGCCTGGAAGACACAAACTGATCGTATTCCTGCCCTTGTGAGCCGGGAGGGGTGGGGTGGCCCTCAGTGATGCTAAGTGGAGTGGGCCCATGTAGGGCGAGGCCTAGGATAAACTTCATCATTGCTGTCTTTTCTTAGTTTTGCTTTTAGAAGGAAAGGACTCTCATTTAAAAGCTCATTTCTCCAGTTTCTTCCTCCCCCCTACTCCGGGGGTGGGTGGATAATGGTAATGGGACACTCACTGCCTTCTAGTCGGAGTCAGATCCACTCATAGCAACTCCTCCTTGGCTTTCCAAGGCGGTATCACTATCCGAAGAGTGACTGGTGGGTTTGAACCACCAGCCTTCTGCTTAGCTTTAAATGCCTTAGGCACTATGCCACCAGAGGAAGAGCTTATCAAATCCAACCATTATTTCATTTAAGGCTATCTGAGAATAGCCTTTGGATAGATGCAGTGATTGGTGTAAAAGGGCAGTCAATAGCAGTCCTAACAAACTTACATTATTGACCACCATCATAATTCAGAACTAGCTCTGTGATGTTGAATGACAAATTAGCCAGGTTAAATGACTCTGAGCTGAATCACCTTCCTTTCAGTCGTTTTGTTTGTTTGTTTAATTGTGATTGGGATGAAAGTTTGCAGAGGAAATTGATTTCCCATTCAACACCCCATACATGTTCTGTTTTTTGGTATTCACAGCAATTCCCACAATGCAACAGCATTCTTCTCACTTCCTCCTCATGCCCAGTCCTTCTCTTTGTCCTTCCTTTCCATCACTTCCTACCTTCCTAGCTCTATCCCTAGGCAAATGCTGCCATCTTGATCTTATATGGTTGATTGCGCTAATGAGTGCATATACTCTTGGTATATAGTCCTGTCTGTCATTTGAATGAAAGTTGAGCCTCTACCAGCTTCATCTGACCTGTAAACCTAGTCTTTTTTTTTTTTTTTTCAGTTTTTTTCCACATTTTCTCCCACTCGATTCAGGAGCTTCTACTGTGAACCCTTTCAGAGCAGCCAGCAGTGGCACCATCTAGTTCTTCTGGTCTCAGGGTCGTAGGGGCTGGGGTTTGCCTCCCATGGATGGTCTGTTAGTCGTTTGGACTAATTGTTTCCTTGCATCTTTGATTTTCTTCACTCTTTGCTCCAGACAGAGAGACAACAATAGTTGTACCTTTGATAGCCACTCACAAACTTTTAAGACCCAGTCAGTGCTCAGCAAAGTAGGATGTAGAACATTGTCATTGTGAACTATGTCATGCCAATTGACCTTGATGTCCCCTGACACTAGGTCCTGAGCCACCATGCTCAGTGACCCTCAAGGTGTTTGGTTATGAATAAGAAGTTTTCATAGCTTTGCCTGTACATCTTTGCTGTACTACATTCATAGATATATTTGCAGCACATATAAATACATAGGTAGAGACATCCTCTGTCAAGCTTATATATTATTTGTGGATGTAGTCCCATTCGCCTTCCACCCCTTGTTCAGCTTAGTGTCTATGTATCCACTTATGTATTATTGTTATTACTGGTATTGCAGGACTGGGTATGTAATAGTATTCAACTTTGTTGCCTTTAACTCTTGGTCTCCTCCCAGTGTCTCCCTTTGCCTTGGTCATTTTGTACTGACCTCCCCCTTACTGTATATTGCCTTTCTCTTCACCTAAGTTCATATGCATCTACCCACTAGTTTTGTGCATTCTTCTGTCACAAACAAATCTGTCCTGGAAGAAGTGCAGCTCGAATCCTCCTTAGAAGTGAGAATAGCCAGGCTTCATCTCACCTACCTTGGTCATGTTGTCAGAAGGGACCAATCCCTAGAGAAGAATATCATGCTTGATACAGTAGTGGGTCAGCGAAAAAGGAAAAGACCCTCAACAAGATGGATTGACACAGTAGCTGCAGTGATGGGCATAGCAAGGATTGTGAGGTTGGCACAGAACTGGGCAGTGTTTTGTTCTGTTGTACACAGGGTCTCTGTGAGTGAGAGCTAACTTGACAGAACCTACCACCACCACCATGCCCTAGTTAGTGATTTACCTTTACCTTCCCCTCTCACCCCTGGTAACATTCAAAGAATGATTCTTTCTGTGTGTAAACCTTTTCTTTATTTTTTACAGTTATGGTCTCATACAATATTTGTCCTTTTGTGATTGACTAATTTTACTAGGCATAATGTTCTCTAGGTGCTTTCATGTTATGAGGTGTTTTGTAGATGTCTTGCTATCCTTTATGTTGTGTATTCCATTGTGTGTTTGTACCATAGTTTGTTCGTCCGTTGAAGGGCACTTGGGTTGTTTCCATGCTTCCCTTTACTCTTGTCAGATGGTTCCTTCTCAACAAACAGAGCTTGGGCTGAGGACCAGGCTTGGGGAAGTGGTTTTCAGCTCTGAGGGTGGCAGTTCCCAGCAATGCCTCTCCATTATCACACATATCCACTGTGCTCCTGTCATTCCTATCTGGTAAACCATACCCATTTATTGCCAAGTCGATCTGACTCATGGCAACCCTATTTATGTGAGAGTAGAACTGTGTTCCATGGGATTTTCAATTGGTTTTCAGAAATAGATTGCCAGGCCTTTCTTCCAAGGCACCTTTGGGTAGATTCGAACCTCCAACCTTTGGATTAGCAGCCAAGTACACTAACCCTTTGTACCACCCAGGGACTCCTATTTTGTATCACCCTTTAAATTCCATTTAGAAAAGCAAAATGGGGTTCATGCTAGACCTTTAGCACTTGATTTGGTTTTGGAAAATCACTCAATAAAGGCAGGTGACCTGAATCCAGTGTGTACTGTGGTTTCACAGGGCCCTCCTTTCGACAGAAGATGCTCTAGGCTCCCTGTATCACTTAGAAATGTGTCCGACTATAATTAACCAGAAACCCCACATAAAGTAATTAAGCAAATTGGGAGTTCTTTTTCTTGTCTAACAAGCGCAAGGGTAGCCAGTGCCCAGCGTTGGTTCAGCTGCCCAGTGTGGCATCAGGACTCAGACTCTTCTTCTCCATCATCCTTACAGCACTGATATTTGCCTCCATGGCTACATAATACAATGGCCGCAGCTCCAAACATCACTTCTGTGTCCAAGTCTGGAAGAAAGAGGAATGTGGGCACCAGTGTGTTTGCTGCTTCTTATTAGGAAAGCAGTTTTCCCAGAAACCCCAGCTGGTTTCTGCTTGCACTTCATTGACCAAAACTAAGTCACATGGTAACTGCTAGAGAGTCTGGGATAGGGAGAACTGAGCCTGGTGTATTGCCATTCCCAAACAAGATGGTTTCTGTTACCAGGGAAGAAGGGAAGAATGGATATTGGGAAGCATGATTCAGTGTCAGCCTCACTCCCTTTTGCAAATCCCCTAAGGCATTTGACTGCTAACCAGAAGGTTGGTAGTTCAAACTCACCAGCCACTCCCTGGAAGGAAGACTGGATTTATTGCCTTGGAAACACAAAGTGGTTTGCTATGAGTTGGAATCGACTCGATGGCCGTGGGTTTGTTTTGTTTTGTTTTGTATTGTTTTGCACATGATAATGACGAATGCTATAAGCACAGTGTTGGTATCTCTGACGTTGGTTGTCTTATTTCTCTACTTTGCAGATGAGTAAACTGAGGCACAGAGAGGTTAAAAGAGGTGCTGAAAGGCTCCAGCTAGTAAGTGGCAGGACCAGGATTCCAGTGCAGGCAGTTAGCTCTAGCCAAGCTCGCTTTAGCTTTTATGGCAAACCCTTTTGTGCTTTACACAGAAGGGAGTTTGCTAGAAACTCACCTACTCTGCCTCCAGGGATATTTTTCTGCCTTTTCTGTGGATTTGTAAATTGCCATAAGGCAGAGAGATGGTCAAGATGCAGCTTTGCAGCAGGGAACCTCTTAGATGGAAGATTGGTCAGTACAAAAAAAAAGGAAACTGATGCATCCTTCCCAGGGAATAATGTCCTCAGGACCCAGGGCCAAATTTGGACCCACAGTGGACACACCTGTGGATAAGTAAGAATTTTTGAGTTGAAAAGACCAGAAATCATATGAGTTTCTGGTGAGATGTCATCAAAGCCTAAACTGAAATACAGGTCTCCTGATTTCAGAATCCAGAATTATCCCCTCTGTCCCTTGACCTTGCCTAGAGGCATCCAGTAAGTATTTGGAGTGAGGACAATAATGAATCCCAACTATGAGACTCTGGAAAAATTTCATGGAAAAGAAGACATTTTAGCCAAACTTCTAAATGTGGGTGGGATTTGGATAGGCAAAGAGAGGAGGGAAAAATCAATCCAGGCAGGGAAGACAGGAAGCCTGGATGTGGGGTGGGAGGGGATGTTATCTAGGGCAAGAGGGCTTGAGGTAGGGAAATCAAGTGTGAAATGTAAGTGACTTGGGGTAGAGAGATTCTTGATTAATGTGTCTCCTTCTTATCAGACAGTGTCAAAGTTACCCTTCTCACTTGCTCATTCCTGCTGTAAGTTGAAACTGCAGGTAGAGGAATGAGAAGTCATTTCTGAGCTTGTCTTGGTTCCACATTAACCTTCAACTTCAGCTATTTTCAGCCCACCCCAACCCACCCCAGACTCCCCCATCTTTGGATGCAGTATGTTCTGCCATCAATCACAAATGAGGCACTTAGAGGCAGGAAACTTAG